TTTTTGTTCGTTTTTTGAAAATAACTCTTGCAAAAAATAAGTTATTTGCACGAAATTCGGTACCCGGGGTTTTTTTGACGTGGGAAATCATAATTTCGTAATAATTTTCATGTAACATCTAGAGGGCGCTGCGTATGCTGTCATTATTTATTTCAAATTGCCCTAACTTTTTTGACAGTAAACTTTTGGTACTTTTCATGAAAAAACCTAATTCCCACACCTTTTCCAAGTAAAAAAAGTACACCTCCTCAACAATGCGTGAGGCGATCGTTTTCGAGATATTTACAATTTTCTATATCGATGCATATTACTTTATAGCCTTACGTTTGAACGGAGATGCTTACCTACATTTTTTGGAACACAAGCTTCCCCAACTTATGGAAGATGTTCCCATTGGTCTTCGAAATTACTTTGGTTTATGCACGATGGAGCTTCTGCTCCTTTTAGTGTGGTAGCAAGAAATTTTTCAGACGAAGCATATCCACAACGATGGATAGGAAGAGGAGGCACACAGCATTGGCCCCCGAGATCACTGGACCTGAATCCCGTCGATTTTTCCTTCTGGGGACACCTAAAATCACTAGTTTATGCTAGCCCTATTGAAAACGAGGAACTGTTGAGGGATCGCATCATAGCTTGCTGCGAAACAATAAGAAACACTCCGGGCATTTTTCAACGAGTGCGGAATTCTTTGATGAGGAGAGCAGAAGCTTGTATTACTGTTGGGGGGTCGTCACTTTGAACAGTTGTTGTAATAGTTGTTTCGTTCAATTTTTATATGTTTATTTTACTAATAAATAACATAGTACTTCTCCGAATTGGTATCCATTTATAGTTTAAACAGTGTTTCTTCGAAACAAATGTTTGGCGCGGTGTTGTGAACAACCAAGTAATCGGGCTTTACTTTTTGGGCCTTGAAGTTTTATAGAAATTCCAAAATTCTTTATGGGATAAAGAAATGCGTTGTTGTATTGCTCAAACTGCAAGCAACGATTTAAAAATACCCGGTAAACAAAGAACAGGAATCCCTGTGATATGAATGCACCCGGTTCTTTGCCAAAAGTTAAATTTATTCTGTTTACTACGACGAAAAGCCAGCAGTCACACATCCCGAGAGATTGTAGGTGCAAAAACCTCCACACTATTTTGAGGTTCCCATGAAAAGTATATTTTATTTAACACGCTTTTATTAGCTTCATTTGTATGTTTCTTTGTAGCCGACTCTCTGGACTCGATTTTGACTAACTTTAAACGAACAGTTTTATTTGAAACTCTGTACACTTATCAAGAATCGGTGACAATAAAATAATTTCATAAGTTTATCCCATTATCCTGATCAGGATCGCCAGGATTAAATAATTTCCTCACATAATCTCTGTGTGAGAGCAAGTGAGACGGCCACACTGTCTGCACATGCGTATATATTTTATATTGAAACAAATGGGCTTGAAATACCAAGACAAATTAAAAAGTGGAAAATAGATAATAGTTTAAAAAAACACGCTTCGATAGCAACACAAACTAAAAAATGAAAAATAATTCGAAGCTAATTAAAGAGTTTGTTCAACATCAATAATTAATCCTATAGCTTGATAACTAATGACTTTTAATGAGTCTAAAATCAGAATGAATCTATTTACAAAAAACTTATTTTGTTGTAAGACGGCGTGGGGTGCTACATATCCATTGTTATAAATACTTGCTGCTTGTCATATTGATGGGAAAGGATCTTCAGCAGTACCCTACGTATCTTACTACCATTGTGTGCGGCAGTAATTCGTTAAGAGATGACGAAGTCGCTTTCAGTTGAATCAAGCGAAATTAACCGTGGATCCGTTACACACTCCATGACTATCCAAAAAAACAGTCGCCATCAGTTTCTCAGCCAAAAANACCAACTTCGCAATTTGACCGTACTAATCCGAATTGGACCGTACTATCCTACTAATTGGCCTCGTCACTCCAAATCCGAAATAATACAGAATTTAATTAAGTTAGCGCATCGTCTAAACCTGCAGTCGGCGTTTGATAAACCGAAGATATCGATGAACTGACGCAATCGAAAACGACCTTTTTACAACTCTGTTACTTTCTGGTGGCGTCGCATGGTGACAGTGTGCGCGAAATAGTTCGTTGGGCGACACTTGCACGATGTTTTTCAACCAACCCCTTCCAGAAGGTAGTGCCAGAGCTCCAATATTTCGTGCCAGGACCAGGATCGACAGCGGGGAAACAGGGGAGAGGAATTTGCCGGAGGGTATTTATCAACGTTTTGTTGTTGAGATATAATGACCTTTCTTTGGTGATCTATGTTTTACATCTGGTTGTTTGATTTTGCAACATCGATTTCACTTCAAATTTATTGGATTAAAATCAGGGCTGAGGTGATTTCTATAGTGCCTGTGATATTACCAATGCCCTCTCATATTAAAGTAGATATAGCAGTAGATATAGCTCACCTTTACGACAAAGTTGTATTGATGTATTGAAAACCTGTAAAATAGTGACGCCACCATCGCTCTTTATCTTTGAAGTTTGTGTTTATTTTTATATTCGTGAAAATATAGTGAAACTTTGGGAGCTCAATAACTTTGACAACATTATTAAATTCCCATGAAAACAACTGACTCTTTTTAACTAACAATGTCATATTCAGTCTTCTCTGATCTACGCAACAAAGGAAAACAACTCGTTAGTTTTCAGGGCTGCCAACACCTCCCTTGTTTAATTGGAAATCTTCTAGGTATTTTGGAAGTCTCCTGACACGGCTAGCTCTAGGTTGAGAAATCATCTCTGCTTCCTGTTGAGGATTGGTCTCGTCAATCTCATGATGGCGTCTTTGATTTTCTTCATATGAGGTAACTTTCGGTTCCATCTTGATATCAAAAGAATCCCAGCAAAATGTCAAGAGGTAAATGATGACCTTCATTTTCAGCATTCTCGATGTATCTTTTTTTAATCTGATTGACGTGCATTCTTACTAGTTCATGAGGGTTCTCTAGTAATACTTCGTACATCACCTTTCCAATCTTGCTTGTAATTTTTCCAGGTTTCCAGTCAAACACATTATTGTGATAAATCTCACAATGGATGGTGTCTCCAAGTTTCAGTTTGGGATAATGGTCGCCATCTATATTCTGCAAGTCTTGTTTCTGTGACGGTAGTAAAAGATCAAAGACGGTTCTAACTCTTCTACCCATAAGTGTTTCAGCTAGCGATTTTCTGCTTGATGTATAACAATTTGGAGTTGTTCGATATGTTGATAAAAATGTTTGAATTGACTGACCTAAAGGTTGTCCTTCCCTTTTGATTCTTTTCAGAGCTCTCTTGAATGTGTCAACGAATCGTTCAGCCTGTCCGTTCGATTGTGGGAAATATGGTGCTGTTTTGATATGTTCGATTCCATTTTTACTGCAGAATTCTTTAAATTGTTCACTGCAGAATTGGGTTACATTATCAGAAACAAGTGTAAGAGGATTTCCAAACCTTGCAAAAGTTTCTTCCAGAGTTCGGACTGTAAATGAACTTATATTTTTGGTGTTGACTACTTCATGTAGCCATGTGAATTCGTTGCCATGGTCCCTGTGGAGTAGACCAGGATGAAAAAGGAATTTTCTTTTTGCTGCTTGATTAGCTGCTGCTGCTGAAGTTGAGCCTGGGTTTGTTGAGTTTTTATAAATTCAAGAATGGTTTTCTGGAACTGATCAGTCGTGATGGTTTTTACTTTGATTGGTTTTTATCAAAAATCCTCGTCGCCACTTTTATATTCGTGAAAATATAGTGAAACTCTGGGGGCTCAATAACTTTGACAACTTTATTAAGTTTCCATAAAAACAACTGACTCTTTTCAACTAAGAACAAAATATGTCATATTCAGTCTCCTCTGATCTACGGAACAAAGGAAAACAACTCGTTAGTTTTCAGGGCTGCCAACATTTATGTATTTAGTATCTGACTATAACAGTTTTTAACCAGATCTAGCATTCATGAGCATTTTGAGCTTATGTTCATCTATTTCGAACCTTCCAAAGAGTTTCTTGCTTCCACTAGAGGTTGAGTCTTGTTTGAAAATCATCAGTGTTATTATTAGATTGACTGGTGCCTCAGCTATACTTGTTTCCTCATAACAATCAGCTAGTTTGGCGCATGTTTGACAATACAGTCGATCATCACCTGTTGAAAATTCCATTTTCGGATGATTTAACATTCGCAAAAGGATATATTGTTCAATATTGTTCAACAGATTTTTAAACAGAGCAGAATATCTGAGCAACAAGGTCTACAAGAAGTACATAGTGCCACACACGATTCAATTATCTCCTCATATCCAGAAGATTTTGACAGGGTAGATACCTTGACTATATGAAAGGTTGCCTCACTTGGAAATAGCCACTAGAACTCGGAGTATGCGTTTTTAAAGCACTGCTGCTGATAATCTTAATGCCAGTGGTATTAGAGGTGCAAATGAATTCATTTCATCGTTCCATCTGCTTCATAGTTGGTTGACTAAAGCAAAATATATTGCTCACCCAGGGCCCCCTTTGCTAGTCAACCCTTCATTAGGTTCTCATAACAACGAACCAAGTACACATTCAGCAGAAGACCCACTTCAAAGCTGTAGAAACTACTACATACATAAACCAATGCATGCATTCCAAGAGATAAAACAGGTTTACTCAATGTATGCATTGGAGTTAATTTTTCATTCGTTCAGATTCACTTCTCATTGGGATTTTGACAAAATAAACAACTAAACAATTTTATTTTTCATTTCAGGAAATGAGAGCCCCTCGTTTGTGGCAACTGCCCCCTTTTCTGGTGGGGAACCAGAACTACCAAATGAGATTTCCGCTCCCTACGAAGTTCCTCAATTCCCCATAGAACAGATCGAAAAAAAATTGGCTATCCAAAGGCAACTGAATTACAAGTAAGTTATACTTTTGGCAGACCAAATGTTCTGGAAATTTTTTTAATTTCAACAACTTTATTGATGTCTACAATGATATTCCATCCGCAGAGTTAATGAAGATAGACGTAGTCACTATGAACCGTCGGTTGCAGGACCTGTTGAGGTCGAAGATCTGGATGAGCATGATCTCTATGTGCCACATTTCCAGAGAGTGTCTATTTCTGGCGAGGACACTAGTGGGGTAAGACTTTGTTTCCATACCAAAACTTATTAGTTTAAAGTACTGTTAACACCAATTTTGGGCCCCATCTTTCTGCTGACAAGTACATCTAAAATATATTACAATTATTTTCGTAACAGGTACCACTGGAAGACCTTGAAAGAGCTTCCAAGCTCATCATTCAAGCCCTGCTTATCCGAAAACGCTATATGAAAATGTCTCACCAAAGTTTTTCCTCCACGGTCGCTAGATTCTTGGATCCAGACAAAGAACAACAGCACCATGACGAGAAGCAGTCAATAGAAGGTTGGTAACGATACATAATTTACGTATTATTGCATGAGTAATATCAGCTGCGCTGCTTTATTGAACTTTAGTATTGCTACCCTTTTTTAAGAAATATTCAAAACGCTTTCCAGCATTTCAGCAACCATTTTCTGACACGTTCTTTATAGCTTGCACTGAATTATTAAAAACGACGAATGAATTGTAATATTTTACCGTACCCACTGAAATATGAGGAGGCGAAGAACAAGTTCTCCAACTGACAGCCGGAAGCTAAAACACAGTGAAGAACATCCACAAACTAGTTCAAAGCTATTTATCATTTGTTAAGCCTACCCTTGCATGTTATCTTCCTAATCTCACATTGAATTGTTCGTTGTTAGATCGAGAATATGCTGAGCTGCTGACAAGAACGGCTAGAGCTTCGTTTGACGATTTCATGTTGGGAACACTCAACAAAGATAATCTCGAGCAGATTCTCACCGATGAGGGTTTGGAAGGTAAATAACTTCGTTTGTGCACGACAAGCCGACAACATCTAAAACAAACGAACATACACATCAAGCGTACACATACCACCTCACTCGACAGGTTATGTGTTAATAATGAAGTGTTTGGTGAAACTATGGAAAAACTGGACTGAAATTGTGAACAAGACGGGAAGTTTCGGGATCGTAAGGAAAAGGGTTTTGGTGCAGTGGTTCCATAGATGTTTCAATAACTTACTTTATGTTGTACTTTGTTTTTATCATCTTTCAGGATCGTTCATTAGGCCAGTTGTATCCGTATAAGAAAAAAACTCATTGATTCACACTAACGCAATTTTAATAGTTTCAGGGATTATTTACGGCATCTTCAGCAATGTCAAGACTGAAACTACATGTCTGTCATTTACTAACTTTAAAAAACAAATATTTATCTATGTCAAACCTGTTTTCGGGTTCGTTGGCGGTAGTCTGCAGGTTTTTATGGCCGGCGTTTCATCTACAACTGCGGGAGACTTTTTCAGTGTCGACAAGGCAAAGTAAAAATTCAACCAACGTATCTTACAGCGAGCGGCCGTGAAATCATATTGCATCATATACGTTTATGGTGTGGCAGTGGTAGTTTGGTGTGGCGTCTCATTAGACATGAAGACAAATCAGCAGTAGCGCAGCATGTTGTCAGAGAAGACAATCAGTTCATCTCAGTTGACATAACTTAGAACTACTATCCAACACTATACAGTGTGGCTCACTTCTCATGGAAACACCCCCGTATCTTCCGTAATATTCGAGGAAGAACCATGAAACTCTCAGGACTGATGAAAATGCTCAAAATTCACCTACCACCTGAATAGGGTTGGCCAAAGTGATATACACTGTCCGTCATTCGCGATGGAACACTCCATTTTTACGGTAAAACATATTAGGGGGCAAAATAGGCTCAAAATTCCTTCAGATTCGTGATCAAGACATTGACATTGCTGGCGGACAGTGTATATCACTTTGGCCAACTCCATTCAGGTGGTAGGTGCATTTTGAGCATTTCCATCAGTCATGAGAGTTTCATCGTTCTACCTGGAATATTACGGAAGATACGGGGGTGTTTCCATCAGAAGTGAGACACACTGTATAGGAAAGCGATAAAAATTTTAAAAACACAGAGATGTGAGATGAGTACAAGTGGATCACTGAACTTCATTGTCCTGGATATTAACCGCAGTTGCAGATGTGGCGACAGGCAGAAAAACCTACACACTTTGGCCAATATCTACGCCTTGAAAATTGACACAATTTGATTGAATACTGATTTATTGCTCTCCATAACAAACATTGCTCATAATACCATTGCAATTATACACGAATAAATCATGAATTCTCTAAAAGTGTCATCACTATTTTAGATATTACATTTTGTAGTCGACTCATAGTTAAAAGAAACGCAAATTTGTACCGATTCAGCTATTTTCTTTTGCGCTTCTTTCCTCAACCAACAATCTGACACAGAACATATAATCATGCGAATATGTTCTGTACCAGTTTGAGACCATATTTTAATTGTTCAAACTTGTAGATCATGGGATCCACCCACCGAACCACAAAGCTTGGGAAGCTCCGGACACGCCAGATACTGAGCACGTCTACAAAAAGAATCGCGGTGTCTACAACGTTTATCCCAATGGAATCGAAATGAAAAACGAAAAGCCGTGTCCTTACGAATACCCGGATGTCGTCACCTTCACCACAGATTTCTACAACATGTGCAATATGATTGCAGACGGACCTCTGTAAGTTGGTCAAACTCACACATATACCAGTACGCGTTTCAAAGAACACAAGCTTACATTGTTTTTCAGGAAATCATTTTGCTACCGGCGCTTGACCTACCTGTCGTCAAAGTTCCAGCTGCACGTCCTCCTCAACGAACTGCGCGAGCTGGCCTCTCAGAAAGCGGTGCCTCACAGGGATTTCTACAATATCCGCAAGGTCGATACACATATACACGCAGCATCATGCATGAACCAAAAACACCTGTTGCGGTTCATCAAAAAGACCCTCAAGAACTGTGCTGACGAAGTAGTGTCGGTTACCAAAGGGGTACCAATGACACTAAAAGAAGTATTTCAGGTAAGTATCTATAGGACTAAGATCTTGAGGTCGAATAGGATTTATGAAAACTGTATTTACTTTCCCCAGTCGATGAGCCTGACGACCTATGATCTGACCGTCGATATGTTGGACGTCCATGCAGATAGGAACACCTTCCATCGCTTCGACAAGTTCAACGCCAAGTACAACCCAATAGGAGAGAGCAGGCTCAGAGAGGTGTTCATGAAGACGGACAACTACCTCAACGGCAAGTACTTCGCTAATATCATCAAAGAGGTCGCCAGCGATTTGGAAGAATCAAAATATCAGAACGCTGAGTTGAGGCTCAGCATTTATGGAAAAAGCACAGATGAGTGGGATAAACTCGCCAAGTGGGCACTGGAAAACAACGTGTACTCAGATAATGTTCGCTGGCTGATACAAGTGCCCAGGCTTTTGTAAGTATATATATTCACATACATTACATTGCCGAATAGGCAATTAGGTTCAAGGTCATCAGGGCTTGCCCACAAAGTGAAGTTTCATTTTCCTCCTGAGGAACAGCTTGCATGATATTCTCGACAGAAAAGAGATAGATCTGCAGCTTATCATTTTGGCAAAGTTCATGTCGGAAAGGGTAGCCCGTAATGTCCTTCAAAGAATTTTTGATGATGCTCAGGAACAGATATCTGACCTAGAGCATCTACCAAACAAATATGCTCTATACAATAATAAATACTCGTTAGATCTCGTAAATACTTACCCAGCTAAGATAGTATCCATGTTCCAGCGACATCTTCAAGCTAAACAAAGTCCTGACCAACTTCGAACAAGTCATCGACAACATCTTCCTTCCGCTGTTCGAGGTGACAGCAAAGCCGAGCTCCCACCCCGAGCTCCACACCTTCCTGCAGTACGTCATCGGCTTCGACTCGGTGGATGACGAGAGCAAACCTGAGAAAAATCCCCTCTTCGACAAAGACACCCCCACTCCCGAGGAGTGGAACGACGTGGAGAACCCCAACTACGCTTACTACCTGTACTACATGTACGCCAACCTGACGGTGTTGAACAACTTCAGAGCCGAGAAGGGGCTCCACCCGTTTGCGCTGAGGCCCCATTGCGGGGAGGCGGGACCGGTGCAGCATCTGGTCTGCGGGTACATGCTCTCGGAGAATATCTCCCACGGGTTGTTGCTGCGGAAGGTGCCTGTGTTGCAGTACTTGTACTATCTGGCGCAGATCGGGATAGCGATGAGTCCGCTGTCGAACAATAGTCTCTTCTTGAACTATCATAGGAACCCGTTGCCGGAGTATCTGGCCAGAGGGCTGGTTGTTTCGCTTTCTACTGATGATCCGTTGCAGTTCCACTTCACCAAAGAGCCGCTGATGGAGGAATACAGTATCGCAGCTCAGGTATGTTCTTCATTCACCCACTTGCTTCTACTTTAAATATATTTGAGTCTCCATTGACTACCATATATCGCTATTCTGCTACTTTCTTTCTTGTGGAGAATTTACGTTGTATAAGAGTAGTCAAATCAATGTCGTACAACTAGGCCATACGGAGCAGACGTATGGTATAGTTTGTGAAGCTATTGCTTTGCCTCGACGGTGTTTTTTCCCAGCAAAGAGCAATGCTTCATGACCACGCGAAATTTCGATTTTTCACGTAACATAACCTAGCCTTACTGTCATTGCAAGACTAATGGGTGAAATGTCCTGAGACTTGAATTAAGAATATTCAAAGAGCTGCTCTTTACGAGAGTAAATTAACTTTGAGATTCTGGAAACTGGGACCAAAATCAAGAAGAAGAAGAACTTTGAGATTATAACACCATCTGTATGTGAAGCCCGTAACTTTTCACCTCATGTAGTGAATCATATGATGCGTAGTTAAAAGAAATTGACATAGTTCGATTACATATACATAGTCCCATCTAAACAACTTTAGACCTAACCTAACATACATAAAGAAAAAAATATATAGATTATACGACAAAGGAAATAAAGTAATGCAATAGCGTCAAACATAGGGTGAGTTTATAAATAACTTAGATGCATCTTAAGTTTAAAATGAAAGTATTTTGCTATAGGTACATTTTTAGGTTAGGTTGTAGATTACGCAAATAACCGTTTCATGTTTTATTTAGGTATGGAAGTTGTCAAGTTGTGACATGTGCGAGCTGGCCAGAAACAGCGTGTTGATGTCAGGTTTTTCTCACAAAACCAAGCAGTACTGGCTTGGTCCGAACTATACAAAAGAGGGGGTAGCAGGAAACGACATAGCCAGAACTAACGTCCCAGACATCAGGGTGGCTTTCAGATACGAAACCCTGATAGATGAACTGTCAAACATCTTCAAAAGCCATACTAAAGATGAATAACTATATTGTGGGAGATATATAGCGGTTTTTCTGGAAACTGTTCTGCAGCTAAAACCTTGAAATGTCAATAAAGGCGTATTTGGCGTGCAGAGAAGTTTTCATACTGAACCGGGAATGTTATGTATGTACATTCTATTCTGAGTCGAAACGTTAAAAAAATGGTTGTTGAAGAGGGTAAGGATAGGGCCAAATACGGATCCTTGAGGTACGCCACATATTTCTGACGATGTATTTTTGGGGGAATATTATTGGAAAAATCCAGGTTATTGCTGTATTCTGGGACTACATAATCAACACTGGCATATTTCGTTATAAGATAAGCCTTTTTAGGCTATATCCAAATAGTATATCCACATTTTTGTTAAATAAGTAGACATATTGTGTTTACACTAGAAAATATTCCACGGGATAAAATATCTGCGATTTTATTTATTAACAGATGATTAATATATTAGTTTGATTGTGATGAAACTGAGCCTTAACTATATCAATTATCATTTTTATCGAACTTGTTAGTTCTTCCACGTCTGATATAGATATTTTTATAGCGATTTTTATACATCTTTCTATTTTGTTTCACCCGAGATTCTTTATTGTACTGTTGATTATTGCTGAGTATTACTGTGGGTGGGACATGGGAATTATCGATCTCTAGATGTAGTTCAAGTCAACAGCTATGTAAGTAATGATTCAGCTGTTGTTTTTAAGCTTGACATGTGACATTCATTGCATTCAGTCTGAATGGTTTGATTTTTACTGCTCAAGAGATCGGCTAGTTCTTGGAAAACCACCTGCATCATTACAACATTTCTAAAATGTATGAGAATAAAATATACTTTATGTCGAATGCTGTGTTTCATTTCTATTTATTACACTATTGAATTGAGGCTATGGCTATATTTTTATTGGATAGAATCAAGTACCAATAGATGGCGCTGTGAATATCCACAATACTCCTTGAGTTTCTGTACTAATTTTTTCATTTGGCGTTTGTAAAAAAAGTCAATGCTCGTGCCACATACATGGCTGCAAAATATCAAAGGCAGCAGTGTTTTTCGTGTGCTCTGATCTAAAAATTGGTGTTAACTTACACTTCATAAATCCTTGTCAATTTCCTTGACTTTATCACAGAATGTTATGTTTTTTAAGGTTACGTTTCTCTAGGTTAGGAATTGTTGTGCTAAAGGTTTGTATATACACTGCATAAAGCTTTCGAAAACTATTTGGGAACCTCGCAGGTTTTCTCGAGCAAGTAAAAAAGGTTCATTAGTGTCTTGCAAACTATTTGAACACCGTTGGTTAGCACTTTCCTGGGCGCATGTTTCTTAATAATTGCTGTACTTTTCTGGAGAGTCGTCTGTCATCTTATCACCCTTTATTGCAACCAGACAAGTTTTCACTCAGAGCAGGAATGGATCAGTGGCAGTACAAAACTTGTAATGAGACGGGGTTGAAAGAGAAAACAAACGTAGAAGTAGCAAAAAACCTTTCCTGAATAAAGGCGGAGTTATAAAACACAAAATGTAAAGTGAGAAAGTTGAATATATACTTTCGAAGCAGAGCGTTCATGAAATAAATAAGATAAAGTAAGGAATAAGCAATATGCTGAAAGTTTTCCAGCTTTCCACTTATTTTATTTTATTCCGTAATATTCTTTGGGCATGCGTCAATACATCCTGTCTATAACACAAGTTTTAACTGGTGTAGTCAATTCGTTTTCATCATTGTGAAAGCTATTAAATATTTTGAGTTTAATCCCGAGACGGTACAAAATCCGTTCTGCTTCCAAAATAACTTCTATGGTTTTCCAAGCATTTCCCTTCATTAATTAATATTCAAATCTTGGGTCTCTTATCATAAAACTGTAGAAATCTCGATACTTGTTCAATTAGCAAGCCATCATCAATAATTTTTTCTTAACATTCTTGAAAATTTTTATAGAAAGAATATAACCTACAAAGCTAGACGTGTTCTTAAATTCAGCGATTGCTTCGTCTATTGGTTCATTCGGAATGTTGGCGTGTTTCTATTGGTTGAGCCAGAAATTTTCTGTTGAATTTAAGAACCCGCCTTTACTTTCGAGAATCCTGCGGTCTGCTGCCAACAAATAAATATGCTGCCAACATGATTGGTCGACAGTTATTTATTTTCATCTTACGTTTTTATAAACGGGTACGTTGTTATTTCACTTCTTGCTTTCATTTATAATTTTATGTTATGTTCTTTTTTTATAAGCCCACCACTTGATGTTTTCATGTAATAAACATAATATTTTATATCTTCTTCAAGATGTCAGCAACTTGCTGCTTTTTGCAGAAACCTTGAATTTTTATCATTGATATTTTAAAATTGAGACTTGTGGACATTGAAGTCACCATATATGAAAATTTATTTTGGCCTGGAACAATTAATTTGGAAAATAGTCAATGAGATTGAGGTAACCTATTGATCAAATCACATGACATCATGTTTGCTTTCATTGCTAACAGAGGTCGCTTCCTACATATTGATAAACGTTTTCCTTGAATTTTTTCACTTCCAGCCCACTTGTTACTATAATTATCAAGTTGAATAACCCTCAATTACCGAAAAAAATTCAGTAATTGGCGAATTAAATAACCAATAATAAACCATCGAAGAAAACGCCCTAAAAAAAGTATAATTGCACTTTAATAATATAGAAATAAATATACTTAACAACTATTTCAAATCTTCTTGAAAAAACAAACTGGGTAAAAACAATAATAATGCCACGCGAGAAAAATGAACAAATCCCCCAAATCAAAGCTTGAGCCGGAGGATTTTATCGTGATCCCTGAAAGCCTCGATATCCTGCAAATTATCCCACCAGAACCTCAACCTGTGCTTGAGAATCATCTGGAACCACGGCGTCAAAGGACCCGTCAACGTAGGAATGAACTCGTCCAGCTCATTCCTAGGGATAAAGCTGATCTCCGATATCTCGCTGGGGTTGGGCTTGACCTTGACGTCCGCCTGCAGGAACAGGACGTAGTCTATCTCGTGCTCGCCCCATTTTCCGTTACCCTCGTCCTTGTAGTGTATCCTGGTGACGTAATTGAGTTTCTCGACGGGGATGCTGTCAACCGGGATGCCGAGTTCGTAGTTTAATCGGCGCTGTGCCGCCCTTTTGATACCCAAAGCGTCTTTGTCCTCGTCTTCGCCCGGGAAATCCGCTATGGGGTGGCTACAGCAGGAGTTGGTGTAGCAATCCGGGTAGGTAATCTGTGGAAGGTTAGGTTGTAGTTGGGATGTGCCTGTATAACTGTTGGCATCAAGAGAGGATGTCTTTGATTTAGTGGGGCCAGAATAAATATCTTTTCACATCATAAATAACGAGATACTAACTATGAATCATTAAAAACTCCTTGTGCTTCAACCTAAACAAAACTAGTTACTTTCGAATGTATACTAGACGATTTAGATTTGGATAACCACTACATAGAAAACAAGCACAGTAAATTCCTAGGCATTCATATAGACCAGGGGTCTCCAAACTTTGAAGCCTTCGGGCCATAATGATTTTTTCAGTTTATTCCAAGGGCCAATTTCTGCCCTTAACTATATTTCTAGACTAGGATAGTCGCAAAGTGCGTGACCTAAGCAAACTTACGTTTTTTTTGCATTTCAATTATTATTGTGTATTGTGACACTTAACGACATCTAGTGGCGAGTAGTGGTACTATGTACTATCTTTTTCAGCTACCCGCTAGGTGGCATTAGGCGTAATTAAATATTTGGAATTACCGCGTTGGTTCGAGAAAGTTCTGGTTCTAGCTAGTGTATTCCGATCACCTCGAGATGGCAGTAATAATTGCATATAAAAAGGCTAGCGGCGCAACTGCGAGTTAGTCTGCTTAGGAAAGGCGAAGGAAGCGAAACTGTCTATTGTGAAATAAAGTAACACCCGTCAATAAA